AAAACCAACAAAATATCAACATCAACTTCCATTAAAGCACAGTAACAATAAGAGGTACATTGATAATTAGGACAAAATCATTACTAATTTCAGCACAACAAAGTGCATCTTTAATGCTTTTGTGCAAAAGAGATAGATGTGAAAAAGAGATCTCACTTCAAAGAGCTGAAAATCTTTACAGCTGTGATACAGTATTTTTGTCTAATCAAGATGGTTAATAACATGAAACCAAATGAGACAGAGTTAAAAATGTATTCAGCTGCGCCCTGGCAGACGCTTCCATACAATCAGTGAGCCAGAGCTGAGACAACATGTGATAAAAGCATCAGCATTAAGTCTTTGTGCTGTGTTGCTGCCCATTAGCTGTTCCCTGAAAGATGCCCTTTGTCGCTGCCATTAGAAATTAGTGTGAAAATAGAGAGAGTGTTTTCTCCTACACAATCATTCTGAGAAACAAGCTGGGAGAAATTCCAAAAGTGTCGGATGTAAAGCCACATTTTGAGGGAACTCAAGAAACTTCTTCACTGCTGGCACGCAAAGGGAAGTTAAACCAGGCACCCCAAGTGTGGATGATTTGTCTCCAGGACACGCATTACAGAGTTGGATGTGATTACAGAAAAACAAAAATAATAAAAAACTAACACGTTTTTTTTTTTTTTTTGTTTGTGCATATTTTCCAACAGCTTTTCCAAATTAAGTGTATAGTGCATGACATCGTGCAGAAATGATGCTATTTCTTGTTTGGATTTGGACCCCAACGTATTTTTATCTTAGACCCATGTTGGTCCCTTAAACCAGTGGTTATCATACTTTTTCACATCATGGACCCTTAAACTGACACAAATTAGACCACAGGCCACCATTTGATAAAATTTTGCCCCAAGCTGATAAGATTTTTGCTTTGAGATGTTTTATTATGACTAAAATAGTCAAACATTCTGTCATTGGATGGAATTATAGTGAAAATAAATTATACCCCTTTTTGCTGGGGACCCCACTTGCCTCGAGCCCCACTTTAAGAACCACTGCCCTAAACCCTCAGACCCCTTCCACTAGAAGAGGCAATGAATGGAAGTTTTCAGTTGGACAAAAAATATAAATTGGTTAACGAATTTTATACTTTACAATCTAGAGCTATTCAACGGGAACCTTGCTTTGGTTTCCTGTGATGCTCTCTGGGATTTTCTCATTCATATCCCCTCCTCCTAGATTCAAACTGGCGACCTTCCAGTTACAAGCCTGCCTCTCTAACCTCCAGGCTACTATGCTGCTTTCAAGTGCTGCTGTAAGGTACAGAAACACAACTGTTGCCATAAAATGTTCTTTATGGCTTGAAAAATAACATTATCAACCCCCCCCCTTCCCCTCCTCTGCCCCCCGTCCCCCGTCCCCCTCCCCCTTGACCCGGCTGACAGATTTCATGCTTGTACAGTATTTCTAGGTGTCGCACAACTGTGTGTGTGGATGAGAGAGCCGGATGATGGTCTGTATATGGTACTGAAATGAGAGCACAGCACGTGGCCTGGTGCGTTACTATGGCTACAGCTGTCTGTATCCCTAAAATAACCATACACACACACACACACACACACATACACAGACAGACACACACACACTAACCTTATTATGAAAAATGGCAATCTGTTGTGGCTTCTGACAACTAGGTAGTCAGATTGATAAAGATGGAGAAATGTCTGTTTTGTCACTGCTGCACTGACAGGAAATGTCTGGAGAAATCACAGCTCTGAACAGTGGCTGAGCAACAAGTAACCTGCTGCTGTATTTGTCCCTCGTCATGTTCAAAATGAAGACTTTTACACCAATTACAATATATTTTTTCTTTTGCCTTGTGTCTTTTGTTGCCTGGTGTTTTATTATGTTCTTTGTGTTTTGAGACTGACTGTCGAGGATTCGGCTCTATGTAGGCTTGTCCTTTGTAAAGTGCTTTGAGACAGTTTGTGATTGACTGACAGACACATCAATTTGCACAGTTTAAGACAAAGCTTCACAGGGCCGTTTTGCATATTTGTTGCTCACAGTGATGTTGAGCGGTGACGGAAAATGTTGGTTTACAAATCCCGGAAATTGTGAGACTGCAACATAACCATAAATGGAGAGGAGGGCAAGTGATGCTTGAATGATGGGAGAATATACATGAGTGAATGAATAACGCTCCTCACTTTCTTGAAGATCCCGTATTTTACACTTCTCCTGTGTTTTATTTGAATTGTTGATCCATTAGAAAATATACAAATTACAAAATATTTGTGGTTTCAAGAACCAAAATAAAAGAGGCTCAGAGCCTCCTCTCTTCTGATTGGCTCGCTGGTGACTGTTTTCTTAGTGATCCAATAAAAATATAGCAGATTTCAGGTAAACACTCAGAGAATCCAGGTGCAGCAATGTTAGATGGTGGGTCCAGGTGGGTGGGGCTTGGTGCATGCCTGAGAGTTGTAACTGCTTTGTTGCGACATCACAAAGTTACAGAAGTCCTGACCACTGGTTTTAAGGCTCAGTTCCTGAATACAGACTGTGTGCATTTCTCTGTGGACTGAGCGCTTTTATACTTTCACAGTATTAATATAGAACCTAGACCTGCTTTATAATCAAATAACACATGGATATCTACCTTTATACTCAGTGGGACCTTTAACCCCTGAGTACTACACCACAACAGTTTCGTTGCTGAAAATACAAGACTGTGTTTATACTGGGTTGCAAATCTATGGAACTGCAAAGCATGGTGCCGTGAAAATTTAAAAATTGAGAAACATGATGATGCACCAAATGATCTGAGTGCAAAAAGTGATCACAGAGAACTGCAAGGAGAAGAGCCACCGGTGCAAAGCCCTGTATGGGTGTGACACATTTACCTTCACCTCTGATGCCCTTAGCCCCTGTTTCAGTCACTGTTAGTAAGCAAACAAGAAAAAATTCCCCATTGAGTGTTAAATTATTATGCTGTATATTGTATTATTTCAATTGTAATACATTAGTGTGTAAGCAGCATTGAACTGTTTTGGTTGGTCACGGTGGGGCTAGCTTGAAGTATTGTTTTTCACGTTTTCTATGTAAAATCTCAATTTGCACCTATAGCTGTCATGTAGTAACTAAGTCCATCAGTAAATGTTACATTGTACCACTGTTTGACTTTGCCTGGATAAATAAAAGAAAGCTGGACAGGACAAGATGTGAAAATACACCTGAATCAATACAAGTGAATCATCCAAGAAGCTGCAGCTTCACCTTGCTTCAGTTTTGTGTTTGGTCCCTGGTGGAAAATCACAGAGTAAACTAAACACACTGCTTTGTGGTTGTACCTCTGTACCACCTCCAGCTCTAAGAGTTTTAGTGATACATCATTTCTGATGCACAGATTCCGCAGCGTGAAGTTGCCTCTTGTGGATTTAGATGTTCAGTCAAGACGCTGAACCGTGGATTGTAATCATTTGTATTCCACTTAACTTCCAAAATAAATGTCTTTCAGAGTCATGGACCAATAGTGCGGGCTTCAGCCGAGTGGCCACGGCACTCAGCGAGTCTTCCTCAATCCACAGCGAAGCCCTGTACCACCTGACCAGGGAAATGTCTGGGGTGGGACTGGACCCCATGTCCTACAGCATCCTGGAACCTGAACCTTATAAAGAGGAACCCTGGGCTGAGGAATCACAACGTCTGCTGCAGGTGACTAAAGGAGGACAGAACGTTTGTGTGTAAAAGAACAAAAAACAACAGCTTGATGTTAAGACTTTTGGGGTTTACACTGTTGGGTTGACTACTCATAAAAAATGCGCAACTTGTTAAACTAAGTTAATCATGTAATATTTCCTGTGTGTGTAATGTGTTTCATCACATTGCATCACTTTATGAGTTAGCATAAAGTATAAAAAAATTTCATTCAAATGATTTCAGAGAATAAGATGCCTATTCTTATCATTTTTAAAATGAAAGTTGTACCTAAGCTATTTGGATGGTTTAAATTGACTTCAGACCGACTTTGAGGAAAAAGTGTGAGTTCAAGGTTGATGCTGGTTTAGGGAAAATACTTCAGTGGAGAATTAAGGCTGATATTATAAATAGGTTAATGGGAGAGCCCGGGGTTAGTGTGTGTGTGTATCAGTGAGTTTGAGTTGTGTCTGAGGTCTATTTGTTAAGGAGTAGCCCTGTACACCCTGAGGGTTCCCTAGATAAATCTGAGCGGAGATCATGAGATGATCAAAATGAAAAGACAGAATATACACAGACTGTTACTGCTACACAAAATTATGTTAATCATTTCTTGAAACTCTGCATGCCTTTAAAAAAATGAAACAATCTAATAAATGAAGGCTCAGTCTTTGCTTCAAATGCTCACAACTCATGGTCATAACATGTGGACTTTGCTTCATTTAAAAAAATAAAAAATCTAAGTTGCAGAACAGAAATATGACTCAGGGACAAAAGCAATTCTTCAGTACATTTTATAGACAGTTAATTCTGTAATTATGGTGGAGCCATTGTGAAAAGACAAGTCTCAGAGTCTTTAGTGAGCTCCTACCAAAGCAAACAAGGCTACACCCTCTCTCCACACTGCAAAAAATATCCACCTTAATCTGCCAAAGAGTGGAAAAAAGACATTTTTAATGAAACAAACAGGAAAAACCTTCCAGGAGTCTGAGTTGGTTTCATATTTTATTGCATTTCAACTTGCATTTTTTTTTTCAGCCAAATGATTTGAGAAATAGATCATTTTAAGAAGCAAATACAACTTCTAAAAACAGCCAGGGATGATGGGAATTTGACTCATCAACTGTGTCCCCAGGCAGAAATGTGTGGATTATGTTCAGTATAACGGGATTTTGAGCCTCAGCATCAAACCTGACAACACACTGAAGACGGACATCTTTTACAGTGTGGCACGCTCCGTGCCAAAAGCCCCGGCGGTGCGCAGGCAGCCTCCAGATCACACAGTTGGGTAGATGTGTATCACCAGCGTGTGATCAGGCTGCTGGACTCTGCGGGCTGCTGCCTCCACAATCTGACACATTCTCCTTAAACCGAACAATGAAAGGTGCTTCAGAGGAGCCGTCGCTCCTCGCGGACTGTGGACTACCTGGAGTGACCTCCGGTGTCATGTGGGGATGATGGGGATGAAGGTGGTGGTGATGATGAAGATGATGATGATGAATGCGGCTGTTTTTTTCTGCGGAGACCGCCAACTTTCACCTCTGCTTTTCTTCTTCTTTTGCTTCGTCTTCTTCTTCTCCCGCTTCCCTCTGTGTCTCTAAAGCGCAACAGCATGCAGATGTCCCCGAGTGAAGACAAGATCCCAGTAAGTACTATAGTATCCGCTGCCGCTACACTGTTGCTCTCCTCCTCGCCTTGTGCAGCTACACCAGTGACCAATCTGCCCCTCCGAAGTGTTCATGCTATTAACAGACAATTTACTATAAACCAGTGTTCAGGAAGTGATCACGAGTCTGTTACTATGAGCTGACTGTTAACTTGATGTACAGAAAACATAGAGCAACTTAAGATACCTGAACAAAATATAATAATAATAATTTTAATGGATAATTAGTTAAGGTTTTACCAACACAAGCAACTGGGAACCTTCTTGGAACTAGCCAGGATAAACCAAATAGAAATTTTCCCAGTAAGTTTCCAGTATAAAAAGTGAAACAGCAAACAGGAACCCTCAGGGAAAGTTCCAGGAGTTTGGAGGAAGCAGCCACCTTGTGTCCTGTTGAATACATGTATGTCTAAGCAGGAAATTCTATTTATTTTTTCTTGGTAGTAGCCTCAAGACTTTTGTATGTTTCCTGCACCGTAGAGAGAACAAAGGTATAGACAGTTTTAAGGGTTTTATTTTTGGACATCTTCTGTTTACATTTAATGTTTAAAATTATGTGAAGAATGCACACCGCTGAAAACATTGGTGATAGCGTTACTAAATTAATTTTTTAAATCTTTGGTTCTTGACAGCATAACAACACCTGCAACATCAGTGGTATAAGCCAAAATACAAAATAAATAAAGTCCAAAATCCACAGCATAGATAGTTACTATCAGGAGCTAACATTCATACTGCAGGCTTATCAGAAAGTGGGATGTAAGTCTGAAAACGATCCCAAGCAGGTGCCTTACTTTTGTTTCTGTGACACATATGATGCTGTTATAATCATGGACTTTGCTCACTCTTTTAATTCTAATTACATGGGTGTTTTCCAGGGTCTAAGTATGGTCCTAGCAGCCACTGTGATGCCTGTAATTACCAAAACTTCTCCGCTTGATATGTTGATATGTGTATTTGGGTTCTGTCCCCTTATCAACACAATCCTGGAGATAGTGATAATGTCCTTCACATCCAGTTTCTCAATTTTTTTCTCCAGAGGGGTTGCATGATTGGACATTCCCAAATGCAGTGTATCAAGGTGACATTTCCAAAGGCAAATTTATATAGCACATTATCATACACAGAGGTCATTCAATGTCCTTAACAGAAATAAACCAACACAGCACAAATTCCAACACAAATAGCTATTTATTAAACCCATTCTTCCACTAATATCTGTAATTGGGGGGATTTCCCTCTAAATTCCTTATGTAGCCTATTTATTATTGGATGTGATTTTGAGCCACTCCTCTTCCTCCACTACACATTCCCTGGAGGTAATGCAGTTTATACAGATACAGATTTTTAGATACTTCCTAAGATGCTCTTTTCCCTTTAGATTATACTGTATTTTCTTATTATGTCAGCGTATGACATGAACACACCCTCTTCTGTGTTTTTCTGATACTAATCACAATTATGCCATATACAAAATGAATTTGCGACAAAGACTTTAATATAATAAAATGAATGTCATACTAGAGTAACAGAATCTGAAGCAGTAAAACATTTTAGACATCAGGGACAATGTAACATAACAGTTAATTATACAGTATATAGTGCTGATTAGACCTCATTGGGCAGAGCAATGCTGGGAATTACATGACGTCATCGAACTCCATAGCTGTGTCTGAAATGTTCACCATGGTCTGTGTTTGGGTGATAAAGGCGTTGGCTGCTCCACCCAACAGTTGCATAGAAGAGTCAGTCATTAGAAGAGGCCTAATTAGTATAAAGTGAAACCACCTGTGTGGGAGGACTGTGTATGTGTATGGGCTCTTGGATATTTTAGCTAATGTGGCACTGGAACAAATCATGTTGACATATTTCACTGACATCCAAACAGTGAACACTCCACATTGGCTAACAACACCAGTAAGTCAGTCCCTTAACGTACATTTTATGATGTTTCTGACATGTATATGGAGTCATTAGTCATTAATAGCACGGTGAAATCAGAGTTGAAAATTTAAGCTAGCTCTTTTAAGGCAGTGAGCTAGCTAGACAACATTAGCTGTTTGGCTACTGGGATGTGAAGAGGCATTAAAATAGATTTTGAGTCATGTAAATATACAGGATTTGAAGTTGCTTTTTAAAACATAGTCATACAGAGCTACCATGCTATAGTGTGAGGCGACAGCTTGTTTGGTGGTTAGGTAAATTTTATATATTAACATTATACACAATAAGCATTTTTCTAGTGACTGTGAGAAATATTTTCTTTTGCAATTTAAAAAGAAAGGACTCTAAAGCATAGATAAAGCAACCTCTGTTAGCATTTATTCTGTTTTAGCAAGACAAAACAACTAGCAGAGCCACAGTGACAGTAGTTCCATCAAATATCCATGAAAAATGAAGCTTAAGATTTCAGCTTGACAGTTCATTTGTGGCACGTGCCCATCTGTTTATCCATTTAATTTATGTCAGAAGTGTTGCATTATTTGTCATTTTCTTTGCTCACTAAGGGAGACAGACAGCAGTTGGACTCTACTTGGATGTTAAATTGGTAAATGGTTGTGTGACAGATATTCGTAATTATTATGTAGTTGCATAAATATACACCAGAGCATCTTCATCACGTCAGGCAAAATACATACAGTTTTTGCGCATCTTTCATGTATTATGTATGTTTTAATTTGTGTCGACAGAGCAATCTTTACTCAGTTTTTGTCAGTTGTCACTGTTTCGTAAGCTTGTGTTGTTTTCAACATATGGTCCTGACGAGCATGTAAATAATAATTTTTGAAATCTTGCTGCTCAGGCAGAGGAGGAGACGAGCCACTGCACAGTCGAGACGTCTGAGGAGTGTTATGCTCGCCAGGCTCAACGGGTAATAAAATCACATTAGCTAGCAGCTAACATTAGTGCCTAAACTGTTAGCAAGATGACTTCGTCTTCTGCAGCACTTTCAGCGCGCAATGCATGATGATCTAGCTCAGTCAATGTAGGGTATAAGCTACAGCTTCTGTAGACATCTTGGTGTGCCTTGCAACAGTTTTGTAATGCACTATATAGTGGATAAAACTTACACTTGAAAATTTGAACAGCACTGCAAAATTGTTGATTCACTATATAGTGGACTACATAGTGGGTGAGTGGAGGTTCTGAACACGGCCTAATTCTTTGGGGGTAGTAGCTTATTTTTTGTGTTAAATATTGCACTAGTTTGGCCGAGGCCCAATAGGCAGACACAACAATTCATCTGGTTTTGAGCAAGAGGACGGTTATTAGTCTAAATTCAGCCTAAAATCAACGCTTCTGTGATTGTTGTTTGTTTGTTGTTAGAATTTCATAGACATTAGATGCATAACAGCATATTTTAGAAACCTGTCCTGCTGATAAGTAAGAAACCTGCTCCCAGAGCCTATAGAGCTTTCCCTCTTGTGTCCTCCATGTTTAGTCTCCCTCTCTACTTTCTCTCTGTCTAAATAAAGAATAAAACTGCCAAAGGTGAGCTGACTGCCCACTCTGCTGCTGGAGGTTCTCACTTCAGTGTTTTTGAGAACCTGCCAAAAGCCACTTATGTTTGCGTGTGCTGACAGTGCAGTAGATGTTTAAGTTCATTCAAACAGTTGTTACGTAACTCCACTGCTGCTTAAAGGTGCTCTGTGTGCTGTCTTTACACAGTTTGTATCTGTTAATTTATACCATGATATGACCACTGTAAACGACTTAGGAGTATGATGATGAAGACTAGTTTCTTCTATCTCACAGCAGTTAACCTGCTGTGTTTAGTGAGTGCATACTGTATATTTTACTTTCCCCTTTGATTGCCCATGGCTTCCCACAGGTCGTGAGTTCAACTTCAAGCCTTCAGTGCAACAGAGATGGCCTTTGCTTCTCTGATGGCCAACGGAAAGTTGACTACGTTCTGGTCTTCCATCAGCGGCGGCACGGTTCCATACGAGCTCCTGCCGGCACCTCACAAGACCGATTATCTATTGTTTCCAATGGCAACTTTCTCCAGTCGGGGGGCTCGGATGTGGCAGCAGGAAGAGAAGTGGGCATGCCAGGAGGGGAGGCCGCGAGCGCCGGTGAGGTGTTCATGGAACTCGGACTTGCAGGAGGGAACGAGCCAATGGAGCCGGCTGACCATGAGATGCATCTGATCAGACAAGAGTTTGAGGCCAACCTGGTGGAGGCCGGCCTGGAAATCGAGAGAGACAAAGAGGTGAGTGTGTGTGTGTGCGTGTGTGTGTGTGTGTGTGTGTGTGTGTGTGTGCGTGTGTGTGTGTGTGTGTGTGTGTGTGTGTGTGTGTGTACGTGTGTATTTGTGTTTGTGTGTATATGTGTGTGTGTGTTCACACTAATATCCACATCGTCCTTGTCCTCTCTACTCCTAAAATGGCTGCTCATCGTTTTATTCTCATGTGGTAATACAGTCGAAAGTGAAGATTTTTGTGCAAACTCTTCTTCATAGGTGGATTTAAAGGCTCATACAAGAAACTAAGAAACCTAAACACGACTTAAGACGTAACATAAATTAAGATTTTGAATCTGCATTTGAAATTGCAGAAATTGCAGCTTGTTAGCTGACTGTTCAATCTCACTTAAAGACTCTTAAAAAACACCTTCTGAGAAAAGCTTTAAGTAGCCTTTAACATGCTCTCAGCTGCATTGGCATACAGCTATAGTTGCCCAAGTATTCACTGTGCTGGATTAGCTGTTGGTAGCTGTTTTGTGTAGGAACATCTAATTTATTAATGTAAGAGCCCATTGTACTCAAGGTTTAACGTTCAAGGTTTTCATTGTCATGTTCCATTGCAGTGTAAAAAACAATGAAACATTTTTAGGCTTCAGACAGGCACCAACTTGTTAACAGTAAAATTACATAAACAATGAACAGAGTAAGATTTGAATAAGGAATAGAAAAGGAATGAAATATTCAATGAAAATTAGCAGTATATACTAACTTCCTGACAATAACAAAAATGATATGACATGTATGTTGTGTTAAAAGTCTACACTTAAACCTGATTTATTTTTTGTTGGTTTGGGGGAAACATAACGAGCTGCTAACACAACGTACCGAACATGTTAAGAAACAAGGAGGAAAGTAGATAGCAACCCTGTGTCCTATTACATTTATATATTACTGAATTGTTTTCCCAGTTATGTTGCACTGACAAACATTCTTGTATATTATTCTGGATAAACAGGGATGTAACGTGGAACTAGTGGAGGAAACATACAATCACGAGGAGGTAATTGTAGTTTTATATACCAACCTAGTACATGGCTGGAACGTCTATAGGTGTCAGCAAAATCATATCAATCATAAGTTCAGGGCAGAATTTCTTTCCCGGTGTGACAAAACAAAAGATTAAATGGTAATGGAACATACTAGAATTAAGTCCCCCTTTCAGTACCATGGATAGCTCCACTTGGCTAGGTGTGCCAAAACACTTATTTATGAACTTCAATTTAGAAAATAATCTCAAAATTTAACTGCACAATGTTCTGTCAACATTTAAAGAAATAGGCTACTGTCACAGGAGCATGAGCACTGACAGTTCAAGTCCATTTCTGATTTTACTGTTGTTTGCACTATACACTGTTCTATAGTCAGACTGGCCATCAGGAGCACCGGGAGAAATCCTGGTGGGTCACAACATTGGTGGGCAGGTCAATAAATCAGAAACACCAGCAACTGGAAATGAAACAATGCAGTTACTGCAGCATGTCAGTACAGCAATGAAAGCTCTGTGAAGAAATAAAGAGCTTCTGTTGACTGAAAAGCTAGAGGGCTTTTAATTTGAAACGATTACAGGAAGCGTTGAGTTAAGGTGTAATGCAGTAACTTTAGAAGGGCAAATGGGAGCCTATCAAAATGAGTCTTCGTACTTAAATACCACTATGACCAATTGGGCATATCAAACAGAGGGAATTAGAAATAAAGGCCTGCCTCAAAGAAAGGCCTGCTACTTTCTGCAGATGAAGTAAATAAAGGCCTCACTATTTGAGGAAATGGAGTAGATAAAAACTGTTGTGGATCCACTGTAAACACCCCCTGTTTACGTAAGAAAAAATGTTCCTGCCTCATCTTCAAAGAGCAGGACAAATGGGAAGAGTCCAACACATGGCAGGCTGACCAATCGTGTAACTTCATCACTCACTCATTTATATCACTTATTCAGTCAGTCAGTCAGTCAGTCAGTCATTGACATTTGCAGATGTAGCACTGACCCGTGGGTGGGCTGGGCCAGCCAAAAAATGTATTAGTGCAGCTTTAAAGAAACTATAGAGCATTAGTAGGTCATGTTCAGAAATGTACAAACTGGCACCTTCCCTTGCTTGTCTTGTTAGTAGATGAGGATGTTGAACTATTTGATATTTGGAAAAAGCATCAAGAAAGACAATTATGGTAAAGTTTTTCAATCACAATACTTGAAGAAGTAATCAGGACTATAATATCAGACATGTGGTTTGATACACAGGGTATATGTTTTAGATTTAAGTGACTTTACAGGATTTTTAAGATAAACCTTGACGCAGGATCTGATGTAACTGTCTTCAGCTATTTAAGGTGAGCGCCTACATAGAAACGTGGCTCAGATGGCAGAGGGAAGTGGTGGGTGAGGCTCAGTGTGTTGCGAGGGATTTAGGTGTTTGTTACACCAGCAAGGGGGTTTCCATTAAATTTTGAAATGTATCTTTTATTTCCCTTTTTAGTTTTATGTACCATGACGTTTTGCCCTTCTGCTGTTGACCAAATTACAGACACATGAAAAAGAGCATAAGTAAGACCCAGAGGAGTCATTAGCTTAATGCTAATTATTTGTCAGCTTTTGAGCCAAAAAAATGCAGACACAGTCCTAGCCAAAGGCACAGTAAGAAATCTGTATCTTGTGTACCTCCAGTGCAGCATAGTTACATTTAATGAAATTAACAAAATACATCAGACTGTATTGTGTATGAATTGTCAGTTATCAGATATACAGGAAGGAATATTCAGTTGAAGCATATGAACTAAATATTTCTTCTCAACCACAAATGTGAAACAAGATCATGTGAATATGATTTTGTTTTCCATTGTCGTCCACACTGTCATCAAACTCTTAAGTACTGGTTCAATTGGCTCTCAGTGGTCACAGTGGAAAACTCCATTCAAAGTTCAGTTGTCAAGTCAGTCCTCAAGTTGTCAGTGTGTAAACACTACAACAAGCAGTAACCTGCACCTTTCTGCACCATGCTACTGGACAATTCGATATTCAAAATGAAAATTTTTTGACTTTGAATTTGAGAATTTACAAATGTGGGTCCTTTCACTGTAGTTAACAGTCACATCACATGGAGGCTCTGCTTAGAGAACTCCTGAGGTGAACACGGTCTGCATCAGCAATGACAAACAGTGAAAAAGACAAGTTTAAGCTCACCAGAGGGTAGACTGATGCGTGATGGGAATCTTTTTCAAAAACTGACCCCAGAATAGTTCGATCACAAACCTCTGTAGCGCCGTCTTAACAGGAAATTCTTCATACAGCGATGTTTGTGGCAGAATCCAAGGGTAACACACAAAAATGCACAACATGGTGCAAGCTGCACCAAAAGTGCAAAACCTAAGCAATGAAAAAAAAAAGTCTGAAGAGTCTTTCAGCTGTGTTTTCTCAAAAAAACAAAGGAAACCTTCAGCAATAGTTTTTACTAATATGGACGGATTTGTACTGATGTCAGCCAGCCACTAAAAACACTGGTTTTGCACATCATCAGAATATAGCCAAAACCACAAATACATCTTCTTATGGATCAACACCTTAAATAAAACACAGGAAGAGTGTAAAATATGGGACCTTTAATTTGTCACCCGTCTGTGTATATTACTGGGATTCTGTATGTTTAGGATACAAGGGCCTGACAGTTTCATAAGGACTGGTCGACCTCATTCTAGTTGCTGTGGCCAACACAGCTGCTGTGCTGGCCTCTTTGTATCGATTTACTTATTTAGCCTTGAATGGGTAATTTTGTTTTGACATCTACAAATTGCTTTCCCTGTGATTGTGTGTTACGTAGCAACCACTACTTGCATGTGACAGTGTGTACTTTTATCTGCTTTCAGTTTGTGTGTGTGTGTGTGTGTGTGTGTGTGTAGTAGTAGTAGTAGTAGTAGGTGCTTGGCAGAACACACAGTCCGCGTGTTCTGCAGGCTCACTGCCACAGAGTTGTACAAATGTGGTTATTGTTAAAGTTCCACTTGTTACCAAATAAACTGCTGCTGCACTTTGGCTCCAACAAGAGGAGTCATTTCACAAATTAAAGTTTTGCTCACTGCAGCTGTTTGTGAAATGTTACATCCCTAACACAAAGTATTAGAAACAGGAAACTTGTGTGAGGTCTCACATGTAGGGTTCAGTGTTTGGGGAAGAAACGTCTGCAGCTCAAATACAGTTGGATTTCTATCGTGTCATACCAATATTCAGGATGAGTGTTTATATATATATATATATATATATATATATATATACAAACTCACTCATCCTGAATATTGGTATGCGACACGATAAAGAAATCCAACTGTATTGAGCTGCAGACGTTGTTCCTTCCAAACACTGAACCCTACATGTGAGACCTCACACAAGTTTCCTGTTTCTAATATCTTTGTGTTAGGATGTAACATTCACAAACAGCTGCAGTGAGCAAACTTTAATTTGTGAAATGACTCCTCTTGTGGAGCCAAGAGGCAGCAGCAGTTTATTTTGTAACAAGTGGAACTTTAACAATAACACATTTGTACAACTCTGTGGCAGTGAGCTGCAGAACACGCGCGGACTGTGTGTTCTGCCAAGCACCTACTACTACTACTACTACTACACACACACACACACACACACACACACAAAGTAAAAGCAGATAAAAGTACACACTGTCACATGCAAGTAGTGGTTGCTACGTACACACAATCACAGGGAAGCAATTTGTAGATGTCAAAACAAAATTACCATTCAAGGCTTAAATAAGTAAATCGATACAAAGAGGCCAGCACACAGCTGTGTTGCCACAGCAACTAGAATGAGGTCGACCAGTCCTTATTGAAACTGTCAGGACCCTTGTATCCTAAACATACAGAATCCCAGTAATATACACAAGACGGGTGGACAAATTAAAGGTCCCATATTTTACACTCTTCCTGTGTTTTATTTAAGGTGTTGATCCAAAGAAGATGTTTGTGTTTTG